CTGCGGTTTAGCTGAAAAAGGCTAGTGCCGCCCAAGCTACCCATCTGTAGGAATTATGGCCTGAACGCCTTTAAGTCAGAATTCCATGCTGGAAATAGACGATAATCACCTTTCCCGATGTGCCGCGAAATAGCGATAGGTGTCTTCTGGACACCCAACATCATACAATTGCAACGCACTCCGCTGCCTGTCAAGTACTGGCGGTGGAGAGTAGGGCTGATTTGTAATTTCAAATATTGGGAAAGATAAATCCTTTGTAGACGACTTAACTACAGAACGGGGTGTTGTAAGCATGAGAGTAGTCTTGTACTACGATCTGCTGAGATTTAGCCCTTGTTCTATTGATTTGTTCAGAAATGAACATTTCTCCCCCCAATTGCAAACGCGCAATGTTAAAACTATAAAGTTAAGCAGTCGAAATAAGGCTGCGTTAAAGTGATTTACTTTCGCTATGGGGCGGCGAAAGTAACCGGTCAAAGTGCTGGTAGAGAGTTAATACTGTTAAGCTTAAGATCGTCAAAGTCTTTGTTTTGGCTTAGTGAGGTTTGTTCGCAAAAATCGCTAAGTGCCGCTGCTATTGTTTTCCGAGCCAAATTCGGCGACCTTAGTATCGGGTTTATAACAGGCAGAAAGCGAGAAACACTTTGCGTGAAAATCGCTAAGTGCCAGCGCTAATGATTTCTGAGCCAAAATCGGAGATTTTAGTATGGGGGTTTAACAGGGCAAGCTAGACGGCAGGGCGTAAAATTAGACTTGGTTTAAGTATGTTAAAAGAGAGCGAATAGCGTGAATTAGACTTGGTTTAACTATGTTAAAGAGAGCGGAATAGCATGAATTAGACTTGGTTTAACTATGTTAAAGAGAGCGGAATAGCATAAAATAGACTTGGTTTAAGTATGTTAAAAGAGAGCGAAATAGCGTAAATTAGACTTGGTTTAACTATGTTAAAGAGAGCGGAATAGCATGAAATAGACTTGGTTTAACTATGTTAAAGAGAGCGGAATAGCATGAAATAGACTTGGTTTAAGTATGTTAAAAGAGAGCGAAATAGCGTGAATTAGACTTGGTTTAAGTATGTTAAAGAGAGCGGAATAGCATGAAATAGACTTGGTTTAACTATGTTAAAAGATAGCGAAATAGCGTGAATTAGACTTGGTTTAAGTATGTTAAAGAGAGCGGAATAGCATGAAATAGACTTGGTTTAACTATGTTAAAAGAGAGCGAAATAGCATGAAATAGACTTGGTTTAAGTATGTTAAAAGAGAGCGAAATAGCGTGAATTAGACTTGGTTTAAGTATGTTAAAGAGAGCAGAATAGCGCGAATTAGACTTGGTTTAAGTATGTTAGAGAGAGCAGAGTAGCGTGAATTAGACTTGGTTTAAGTATGTTAAAGAGAGCAGAATAGCGCGAATTAGACTTGGTTTAAGTATGGTG